AGCAACAACAAATGTTGGTGAGGATGTGGTGAAAAAGGAACTCTCCTACATTGCTGGTGGGAGTGCAAACTGGTCCAACCACTGTGGAAAGCTGTCTGGAGTTTCCTCAGTCTACTGAAAATGGAGCTACTATATGACCTGGCAATTCCACTCTTAAGGATCTACCCAAAGGACACAAAAACATTGATTCAAAAGAACATCTGTACCCCTATGTTTATTGCAGCACTATTTACAATAGGTAAAACCTGGAAACAACCCAAATGTCCCAAAATAGATGACTGGATCAAGAAGATGTGGTATATATACATAATGGAATATTATTCAGCAATCAAAAAAGATAAACTTATGCCATTCACAGCAATGTGGATGGAGCTAGAAGGAATTATACTCAGTGAAATAAGCCAGAAGGAAAAAGAAAAATATCAGATGGTTTCACTTATAGCAGGAATATAGGGGAACCAAATAAGACATCGGTATAAAAAAATAATAACAAACACAACAAAGCAAAAACAGACAATTATAAATCAGAGACATCTTGCAGGGAAGGAGGAGGGAGAGAGATCAGAGGAAGGGAGGAAGGAGCACAGGGGACTGAGGTGATGCACTGGTAGAGGAAATTCTATGGGGACTATACCTGAGGGGGTTGGGGGAAGCAAATATTGTTTTTTTTTTTTTTTTTTTTAATTTTTTTTTTTTTAATAGAGGCATGTTTTATTTATTTATTTGTTTGTTTGTTTTGTTTATACAAGCACTGGGTACAGTCAGAAGCGCGGGAGGGTGAGAGAATTCACCAGAGCCAGAGCGGGGAGCAGAGCAGGCAGAGGGACCGAAGCACACTGCTGAGGGGAGCAGCGGGCGGCAGGAGAGGTCTACGCGCCATGTGGGACTCTCCTTTGGTGGCCGGGGAGCAGCCGGGGATCGAACCGGCACCGCAGAGGCCGCGGGGAGCTTCGCAACCCAGCGCTCAACCACTGCGCCACCGGGGAGGCCCCCAAATATTGTTTTAAAATGAACAATAATGTGAAAAAAAATTCTTTGGTCAATGTCTGAGAGTAATTAAAGTCTATTTCGTAGCAGAGGAGATAAAGCACCAGTGATAAAAAGGGCAATAAAACAGCACACAGAGAACCTTGTTCTGGTGTCTGATCCTCAGAAGGCACTTAATTTTTCTGTCCCTGTTGTTTCTCATTAGTAAAATGAGGAGTGGGGTATTTATTTGGTCTTCAGTCTTGCTTCCAAATCCAAGCTCTATAAACAGTGGACTCAGGGGGGATCTTGCATGAAGTGTGGAATCCTTGACATGTGGGGGGCTGGAGGGAGGGTGAAGACAGGACACCCACCTGCAGGAGGCCGGAGTGAGTACCACCTGGTGAGGGTTAGATGGGGTGTCCAATGCGGCCCAAGGTGAGGGTCCCCATTCTCTGGGGAAGAGAAGGGTACTAGTCACAGTTTGGTCTCCTGGCCCAAAGGACTCACCCTAATCCAAAGTTCACTTGTCCTCTGAGTTTCATTTTGCAGAGGAACAGGCTCATGGGAGGCAAGCACACTGCTCTGATTGGAACCTTATTTTTCAGAGCTGGGTCCCACCCCTTGGCTCTCCCATCAGCGTAGGGAGGCCCCAGAAATCCTCTTTCACCCAAAGCCTGGGGGAACCAGGGACGCCTCCACACCGACTGGCTCCCCACAGTTCTCTCTCCAGCCTCAGTCTAGCTCTGACATGGACACCTGCTGCCTGGATGGAGGGAACAGCTGAGACCCTGTGAGGAGAAGCCCCTGCAGCCCCCCTTCAGCCTCCAGGGACAGGGACACACGTGAGTGGCTTGGGGCGTCCCTGGGGAAGATGGCGGGGCTGCTGGGGGAGCCGAGCAGATGAGCATGTGGGTCTGAGTCAGTCAGGGACTCTTGGGGTGTCTCCCTGTATTTCATACTCATTCCCCACTTTGCAGTGTTCAAAGTGCTCCCAGAGCTCCCTGATTCTTGAGGTACTTCTGTGATCAGGCTGAGCAAGGAAGGGGACTAGATCCAGACTCAGGAAACCAGGAAGGAGCTCTTTGCTTGTCCTGCCTGGTGTGCTGTGTCTTGGAGCCTCCTTTCCTGCCCTCACATGGTGCCCAAACAGCTGGAAAATGTTAGGAATAATTGTCTCCATCAGAGAGGAGAGAAAGGAGAAGTTCTAAAATAATTGAGATTCTGTCACCTTATCACCTAGAATTCCTGTTTTACTTTGCTTTCTTTGTATAAGATGTGCTGTTTTAACATGATAAATTACATCTATTTTTAGAGTTTCTATAGAATATAAGTTACAGACTTCGTGAGCTGAATAAAATTATTCTCACTAGTCAGTTACACTTATGAGTTGCTCAAGGACAGGCACATTCTGAGAAATAAATAAATCTTTAAATAAATAAATAAATCTTTAATAAATAAATAATTTTTTAAAAAACTTTAAAAAATGGTAAAATAGAGATTTCAATTTTTTTTAAAGATTTATTTATTTATGCATAGAAGAACTGGAGTGTAAGCCAGAGGTGCAGGGAGTGAGAGGATTCACCAGAGAGACTGGGGAGCAGAACAGGCAGATCTATTGAAATACACTGCTGAGGGGAAGCAGCGGGCAAGGCAGGAGAGGTCTCCTGAGCCATGTTGTGTTTTGCTCCCTGGCCGGCTGTGGGGATCAGATCAAATTCGGGCTCCAGTGGCTGCCAATAGCTTGATAGCGCTGTCTTTAACCTCCTGCGTCACCAGAAAGACCCGAGATTTCAATTTTTAAGCTCAAGATTAAAATGCTTTGATTTAAAGTTTATAATTTCAGTCCAGTTGCTGATCTGCGAAATAATGTGTCTAAGATTTCAGCACCGTCTCTAGCTTGTCCATGTCAGTGTTTTCCTTTAGCACTGCCGACATCAGGCTGGACAATCTCTGCTGTGGGCTTCCCTGTGCACTAGGGTGGTCAGCAGCAACCCTCGGCTAACCCTTCTGACCCCCTCCCCCACATGTGACAACCAAAACTGCCTGTGGACATTGGCAAGTGTTCCCTAAGGGCAAACCAGCTCCTTAGAATGGGAACCCAGTTAAACTCCTGCTTCTCCTTGCTCACAGATCTCCCTCTGAGAAACAGTGATGGTTAAGATGAATTTACAAAACTTGCTTCAAGGTTTCATTTGTCTGGGTAATTTTTGTTTTCCTAGGTGCATGAAAATAAAGACCTATAAACCATGTGTAGTGGGTGTGGGCTCTTAGTGGACCAAGCGATGGGGCTTGGCCCAGGCATGGCTGGCTTCTTCCTTCTGACTTGATGTAACAAAACACTCCTGTTTTCACAAGAGGAGTAAGGACGCCCGCCATTCAGGGGAAGGACTGGGCATCTCAGGTGGGGCTCCCTGTGTGCTGTGCTGTCTGACACTCAGTCTCATTTTCATATAAATGTTTCAGTGCTTTTTCAGCTCTGGGTTTTCTGCCTGGGCTTTTCTCAGTTTCCCTAGAGTTTTCAGATGAAAGTGCATTATTGTTGTTTTTTTTTTTTAAACTTTTTTTTTAAGATTTATTTATTTATTTATTTATACAAGTACTGGCTACAGTCAGAAATGCGGGAGCATGAGAGAATTCACCAGAGCCCGAGCAGGGAGAACAGAACAGGCAGACTGACGAAGTACACTGCTGAGGGGAGCAGCGGGCGGCAGGAGAGGTCTGTGCGCCATGTAGGACCCTTGCCAGGCGCCCGGGGATATTGAACCGGAGCTGCAGAGGCTGCGGGCAGCTTTGCAGCCCGGCGCTCAACCACTGCGCCATGGGGGAGGCCCGCATTATCGTTTTTGAAAGCAAAAAAAGTCAGAACAGTGTAAAAACACTCTCCTGAGCCACTTGATTCATAATCTCCATGTTTTCCCCCTTACAAGATCTCACTGGCATTAGTTTCTGGGGAAAATGAAGCAATAGCCAGCTTATCATTTTTCTTCTACTTGGTGTTTTTCTTTCAATATTGAAATATTTTCTTTCAATAAGACACACGACACATCACATTAGACTCTTTCACTCTGAATTTTTCCTTTTCCAGAATGAAAGCTGGCTTTCCATTTTATCCTGATAGTTTTAAAATGTTTTAGCTGCGTGCATGTGTTTTTATAATGCTGGTAAAAGGGCGTGTTGGATTTGCCGATCTCTGCCAGTTAGGCTGTTTCTTTTATTCATACCCGTGTGTCTTCAAGACAATGCTGAAAAGCCATTTAGGGACTTGTGTTTGGCATCTCCTTTTGCAGTGTTTTTATAGTTGTTTCCTTCACTGTTCTCTGAGGCCCCTAGCCCCGGAGTCCTCCTGAGGCACTAGTGAGGTCTTCTTGGCTTCAGGTGAGGATATAGGACTTTCCTGCTCTTTTTTCTACTTCTAGGAAACTGTAACAATGAATGAATTCACAGGAAGGGCTGGGAGGGTGGGAAGGTGAGGGGAATTATTTAAATCCTCCTCTATCATTTCTGCAGGTTCTAATGGATGGGCCTAAGAGTTTTTAAAAAATATTTATTTATTTATGCATACCAGAACTGGGGTACAGGCCAGAGATGAGGGGGATGAGAGGATTCACCCAGAGACAGAGTTAGGAACAGAACAGGTAGATCAACTGAAATACACTGCTGAGGGGAGCAGCGGGCGAGTCAAGAGAGGTCTGCTGTGCCATGTGGGTCATCTCCCTGGCTGCCTGGGGATTGGGATGAGCTCTTGCTGCAGATAGATTCATAGTGCTGTGCTTAACCCCTTGCACCACCAGTGAGGCCCCTGGTTTATATATGTGTGTGTGTGTATATATATATTTTGCTTTTAGTCCATGAGGGTTTTTCATTTCATTCAGAAATCTTCCTTTAGACTTAAATATGACTCAAGTAAAACACAGCAGGTAAAGGATCAGTCACAACGAAGAACTGCAGAGAAATGGAACCTCGTTCATTTCATTGTGTAACTGTGGATCCCTCGGTTTACCTATTGTATTTTACATGCATTTAGGTACAGGTTTTCTTTGTGTTTGCTCCAAGGAGAGGATGGCTGATGTTCCTGGGTACAGTGTGTCTGGCCTGCTTGCCTCTGTCTTCTTTGTCCTGCTCATCACGAAGCAGCCAGGTAGGACGCCCTCTTCCCTTGTTGTATCCTAATATGCTGGGAGATCTGGTCTGAATGTTGAGTCCTAACTCATAGGGGCTAGTGCAGTATCTAGAGCAGGGGGCCTAGCGACATGTGTGTCTGCTCCAAAAGGGCTCCTCCCCTTCTGAGTGTGTTACCCTGGAAAGTTACTTGAGTACTCATGTGCTCCCTTAGTCTCCTCATTAATCATATGGTCAGAATCACGACATACCTGCTGCTCTTAGACTAGCCCAGGCTTCAGGAATAACTGAGGCTGAGCACGGGAAGTCGTTGACTCTGCACCTGGAGGGTATCAGGATATCCATCCATTCTCCTGCTTCCTTGCAGACAGCACTTTGGGGGCAAGACAGTTCTTATTTTGGTTTTTTTTTTTTTTGCATAAATTAAATAACACAAAGTTGGAAACAAGAAACTAGAAGTAAACTTCCATGAAATGGACTTAGAAATCTCAGTGCTGAATTATGTTCGCCAAAATATCATACCTTGAAAAAGGACTAGGAAAAGTCAGTGTCAGTGGGTAACAGCAGAGCCCCAAGGGGACTCTGGACTCTCCAGTGGGAGAACTGCTGGACAGGACATGTGATGGTACAGGCTCTAGCCCAAGTGGCACTGGGCACCAGGTTTGGTGGTTAGGCCACATCCCCGTCCGCACTGCTCTTCCTTGGCCTGTCTAGACGTCAGTCAGGTGGTAGCATGCTGGTTTCCGTCATGTGCAGACTCCATCAGTGAGACTGTGAGCAGATCTTCATTCAAGTCTCTGGTGACCTTTTGAACGGCTCCTAGTTGATAGTGAGCAGTAATTAAGCCAGGTGAGGTCCCTTCTATTGAGGATTGAGTCTTCACAGAATAGTGCAGGTGACCTAGTGCATTTTAGGATGAGGAAGAACATGATATACATGATATATGATGTTATTAAACAAAATAACATACATAATTATTAAACAGCTCTACAATTTGCAGAGAATAAAGAAGAGGTCACATAACACTTAAATATCATTGGAAAGTTAAAAAGCTAAACAATCCACTGCAATTAATTCACCACAAAATGTCCCTGTAAAATCTGCATTGAACATAGTCCCAGTAACTGGTGTCTTGCCACTCTAGACATATATGTGTGTTCTTGCCACTCTAGACACGTGTGTGTGTGTGTGTGAGTGTGTGTGTGTATCTATGAGAGAAGAAAAGAAAAATAATTTGATTTCTTACTTAGGACAAGAGCAATTTTGAACAGCTGAAGAATCTAATGACTGATTTTTTTTACCTAAATTAAGGAAAAGTGATGATAGTGCCAGTCAATAACAAATAATGAAATTGCTAACTCTAAAATCACTATGTAAAATAAATCAATAACTAATAAATTGCCAAAAAACTAACTTAAATGTTAACTTATTTAGGGGTGAAATGACTAGAAATGGTGGATTTAATATCTTACATATGAAGAAACTGACATTCCAAATTTCAGAGTCTCACTGGAAATCCTGGATTTGCCCCCAAATCACAGGGATGCTAGATTCAGCACTGACACTCAAATTTTTGACTGGCAGGCAATTTTTAGTACATAAAATTAACTCTGTAACAGCCCAAAGTGCAAACCATTCTGCTGGGTTTCTCTAAAATAATGGAAATCACCCCCCCCAAAACCCAGGTGCCTCAGATTTGACAGGCAGGACATTGAAAGCGAGCACATCAGTCCTCCGGTTGGCATTTCCTGACCCCGCGCTGCATCTTTTCCACACTGTTTTGCAGATAACTTTAAAGTGATTGGTCCTGCCCATCCCATCGTGGCCAGGGTTGGGGAAGATGCCGTATTATCCTGCCATCTCCTCCCCAAGAGGACGGCCGTGCGCATGGAGGTGACTTGGTATCGCTCAGAGCCCAGCGCACAGGTGCTTGCGCTGCAGGACGGAGTTGAGGCGACGGAGATGCAGATGGAGGAGTACAGGGGCCGGGTCGAGTGGATACAGGACGACATTGCCGAGGGACGGCTGGCTCTGAAGATTTACAACGTTCAACTGTCTGATAACGGGCAATACTGGTGCCGTTTCCAAGACGGGAACTACATTGGGGAAACAAGCTTGTTGCTCAAAGTCGCAGGTGAATATCTGGGGAAAGACATGGGGTCTTGAAGGGAGAAATAGATTAATTTGTGGCAAACTTACTACCAGTTTAATAATACCCTATAAATCATCAAGGCAGGGGCCTCCGTGGTGGCGCAAGGGGTTCAGCACAGCACTGTGAAGCTATGGGCAGGCACTGCAGCACTACACTGCTGTGTAGATGGCAGGCCAGGGAGCTAACCCATATGGCACAGCAGACCTCTCCTGACTTGCTGGCTGCTCCCCTCAGGAGTATATTTCAATCTGCCTGTTCTGTTCTCCACTCTGTCTTTGGTGAATCTTCTCACCCCCACACCTCTGGCCTGCACCCCAGTTCTTGAATGCATAAAGAAACAAATCTTTTAAAAAAGTCATCAAGGCAATTCTTAATAGCCAGTCCTTAATTTAGTCAGTGTTCTAACTAAATTTAAAGGCAGGCAGTTCTGAGTCTTCAGACTAAGTTCACTTATAAACAATTAATTTTCCAAAATTTAATTTAAATAGTTTTGACTATACTTTATGTCACTTGAGGCTGGCCTGTGAGGTAAGTCAATTGCATACCTTCCAGGGAGCCTAGCTACAGCCCAGCATCCCTGTCTCAACTTCAAACCTGCAGTAACTGAGATGTGTAAGGGAGATGTGACACTTTGTTTCTTTTTGTAGCAAAGTGAGAATACTAGAGGATGATGGCAGAGGAGGTGGGTGCCTGGTGGGGGGTGTGGTGTGTTAACATACCTTGAAGAAGTATGAACCTATACCCCTAATTCACATGCAGTGTTATAAACTAATGTCACCTCAGTAAGCATAATAGGATTAAACAAAAAGGACAACAGCAACACAAAATAAAACTAGTGAAGAGACCAAAGAGGTAAAAGGCAGTATGCTTTTTTGGGAGATGATCATAAATAATGTTCAGTGAGTTGGAGTCTCACTCATGCATTTGCAGCAACATGGATGAGGCTGAAGGTATCATGCTCAGTGAAATAAGCCAGAAAGAAAAGGAAAAATACTGGATGGTCTCACTTATAGGAAGAATGTAAAGGATCCAAATAAGGGATCATGGAAAAAAAAGTTATATAATAAAGTGAAAATCAAAGTCAACAAGCAACTATAAATCATGGATGCTTTTGGACAGTACCTTGAATGGCAAGGTTCCGTAGGAAGCATTTATGTTTACATAGTAGGGAGCAGTCAGGAAGTAGGGATGACTGAAGAAAGGATCTGCTTTACATTAAAATAATAGATATCTGAAAAGAAAATTGTCATTGGTTATCTGGCAGGAAAAATTTCTCCACATACTAAACTGGAAATCAGGCAAATCCACTTACCTTATCAGGTAAAGTTTCTGGAAATGTTGATGCTAACATCTCTGGCTGACTTTGCTGCCTGCCTTGCTCCCCAGGAGGCTGCTTCCTAAACTTTTATTTATTGTTATTATTTATTTTTTTAAAGAATTATTCCTTTATTGTAAGATTTTTATTTATTTTGCATAGAAGAACTGGGGTGAGGTATGGGGTGCAGGACAGAGACTAGAGAGCAGAAGAGGCAGATCTGCTGAAATACACTGCTAAAGGTGAGATAGGAGAGATCTGCTGTGTAATGTTGTAGGTCAGCTCCCTGGCTGGGGATTGAACTCAGGCTGAACTGGAGGGCCTTTGTGATTGTGGTGCTGTGACTTAACCCCTAGGCCATCAGGGTGGCCCCTTCCTAACATTTTTTTTTTTAAATACCTATTGACTATGCCATATACTGCTATTATGCTTAAGGTGGTTCAAAAATGGATGGAAGAATCCATGTAGTTTTGAGATTTGCAGGGAGGATAAAAGCATTTCACGATCAGGGACATTTGAAATGAGTCACACATTTTCTAAGACTCTAGGTGAAGGAAGTGGGTCTCTCTCCTGCAGTAAGCAGTAGAGACAGAAGTTCCATCTCTCGAAAATACAGACCAGTTCATTGGAATGTGAATGTTATGTTCCTAGAGAAAAAATTTCATGATTATATAAAACTAGGATTTCTCAAAAAAAAAAGTTTTCCATTGAACGGAATGCTTAGATTTGGTAACTCCTTGTGGAGCATCCCATATCACATGGTCCAGTTTATCTCTTTGCATCCCCATCACAGCCACCAACAAAAGAAATGGGAAGAACAGCCCCCATGAAGGTGATTTCTGACTTCATATTAAATGTTCTGTTTAAAGAAGACACACAGTATTATCCCAAATCCCAGACAAATGCCTGACATAGATAAAATTGATGAAAAAGCTGAATTCATAAGATGGGGGAGTTGAAGAATAAATCTTGACACATCTTGTTTGCAGTGCTAGAGGCATAAGCACAGTGTCATTAAGCCTCTTTCTTTTTATTATTCATCTGGATCTGAAGACAAGTACTGTTTTGATGTTAAATTTAAAGATCCAGATGGGGGACAAAAAAAGTGCATTTGAACCCCAATATAAAAGGGAATAACTCTTTGGGCCACCCTTTGCTCTCCAGACCCTTGATCGTCTCTCCCCTCCCTGTGAACAGGGTCATTGGGATCTCAGTATCTGTGATTTGTGCCTCTTTGGGTTATGGGTCTCAGGGCTGTGTTTTCCCACAGGTCTGGGTTCTGCCCCTGACATCCACATGGAGGGGCCTGCGGGAAGTACAGTCCAGCTTGTGTGCACTGCAAAGGGGTGGTTCCCAGAACCCCAGGTTTATTGGAAGGACATCCTGGGAGAGAAGCTGCCCACTCTCTCTGAGCATCAAATCCAAAATGCAGACGGATTGTTCTATGTGGAAGCCTCTCTTGTGGTCAAAGCTGATAATGCAGGGACAGTGTCGTGTTACATCCACAATGAAGTCCTCACTGAGGAGAAGGATTCTGACATCTCCATCCCAGGTCAGTGCTCTACCTCTCAGGCAAGACCCTCAGGTTTACCAGCACAGGTGCCAGGCACAGTTCCATAGCACCTAGTGTATTGTTATCAAGGAAAATAGCTAGCACTTAGTAATATGTATTAATGGCTATAAAACATTTATGACTGGATATATATACACATGCATATATACATACATATACACATCTATATACATACACATATACACACACACACACACATATATATATTTGGTTGAGTTGCTATTAATGGTGTTTCAATTATTTTCAAGTTCTGTCTTGTCTTCTGGCTTTTTTCTTTGCTGACAAGCATGCATCACAAGAAATATTAAAACTATATTCTTTCTAGTGAAATGTTTTCCTAGACTGAATTGTGCCAAGTATTCGTAAGAGCACATCATTTTAAGATAGTCAGAGCTGGAAATGACTGTTTACATAACAGTCTTATTGGTCTTATTGGTAAATACAACAAAGACAACAACCAAAGCAACCAATTCAGCAGTGTTGTGTAGTATCTTATGCTACTAGAGATTATAGCATTGATGAAAAATGATATTTTAGTGATAAAAAAATCTATGCTTATATTAGGCTAGCCTGTGATTAAGGTTATATCTTTCTCTCCGTCCACCCATACCTCTCTTTTTCTCATCTACATACCTATCAACCCATCATCTATTTTCATCATCATCATCTATTTACAGACATTTCTAATCATATAAAGATTATTGCCTTTAAATAACAATACTGCATTGAATTTTGAGACATCTCTATATTTAGATATAAAGATGTAAGTACATAATTTTTATTCATATAAATGGGTATAGGAACAAATTTATTTATTTATTTTTTTTACATTTTTTTAATATTAAATTTTATTTTTATATTCCCCCATACAATTGCAAACGCCCCATTCTGACCCCAATCCTTCCCCTCCCGCCCCCCACCCCCCAAAAAGTGTCTCTGGTTTATAGTTTTTGTTGATTTTGATTTTCACTTTCTTATATTCATTTTCCTGGTCCCTTATTTAAGTTTTCTAGATTCCTGCTATGAGTGAGTCCATCCGGTATTTTTCTTTTTCTTTTTGGCTTATTTCGCTGAGCATGATCCCTTCCAGCGCTATCCATGTTGCTGCAAATTGCATGTGTTTATCTTTTTTGAATGCTGAGTAATATTCCATGGTATATATGTACCACATCTTCTTAATCCAGTCATCTATTTTTGGGCATTTGGGCTGTTTCCAAAGCTTAGCTATTGTAAACAGTGCTGCTATAAACATAGGGGTGCAGGTGCTCTTTGGAATTGATGTTTCTGTGTCCTTTGGGTAAATTCCTAGGAGTGGAATTGCTGGATCATATGGAAGCTCTATGTTTAGTAGGTCCAGAAATCTCCACACAGCTCTCCATAGTGGTTGGACCAGTTTGCACTCCCACCAACAGTGCAGAAGAGTTCCTTTTTCTCCACATCCTCGCCAACATTTGTTGTTGCTAGTTTTTTTAATATGTGCCATTCTCACTGGTGTGAGATGGTATCTCATGGTAGTTTTGATTTGCATTTCCCTGATTACAAGTGATGTTGAACATTTTTTCATATGTCTGTTGGCCATTTGCATTTCCTCTTCAGAGAAGTTTCTTTTTAGCTCTTCTGCCCATTTTTTGACTGGATTATTTTCTTTGTTGTTGCTGAGTCTCATCAGCTCTTTGCAGATTTTTGTGATCAGTCCTTTATCATTAGTGTTGGGTGCAAAAATGTTCTCCCAGTTGGTGGGGTTTCTCTTTGTTTTTGTTATTGTCTCTTTTGCTGTGCAGAAGCTCTTTAATTTGATGTAGTCCCAGCTGTTTATCTTTCTCTTCACTATCACTGCTTTGGGTGATGTGTCTGTAAAGATGTCTTTGATGTGCAAATCCCGTAGTGTTTCGCCTATATTTCCTTCTATGTATTTTATGGTTTCAGGTCTTATGTCTAGTTCTTTAATCCATTTTGAGTTGATTTTTGTGTATGGTGTGAGGTAGTGGTCAAGCTTCATTCTTTTGCATGTAGCGACCCAGTTTTCCCAGCACCATTTATTGAACAAACTTTCTTTGCTCCAATGCATAGTCTTTGCTCCTTTGTCAAAGATTAGTTGACCATAAATCTGTGGGTTTATTTCTGGATTTTCTATTCGATTCCATTGGTCTGTATGTCTGTGGGTATAGGAACAAATTTAAAAGTAAATGTTATATGATAATATTAATGGGGTGAAATTTTATTTTTTGTGTATATATTTTACTTTCAATTTATAATTATAGGTAATAATTGTCTATGTCCATGTATTTTATACTTCCCATGCATTTATAAAAAGAATATGTATTATTTTTCTAAGATAGTTAAATATCAATATGTTAGATATAAGCAGAAACAGAATCATGGGGTGATAGAACTGGATTACTTTGCTGTTTAGAGAAATATTGATTCATTAGTTGATCCATGGGGAAAGAATCAGTATTTTCCTGCATTTAATTTCTTTTTGATGAATTGAACTTTCCAATAAAATGTAGAACTTGCTTTTATTTTTTTTTAAATGTTCTCTCCTTTCTCTTTTAACTAAATTCCTTAATAAGCTTTTCTCATTCTTTTTTTCAGAGAAACTCCAGAATGAGCTTGGTAAGTAGATGTGGGCACCCACCAGTGTGGACGAGCCTCAGTCCTCCCCAGAGGGGTGGTGCTCCAGGGACAGCGCAGCTGAGCTGCTGCGGCCCCTCATCGTGATGAGAAACTGAAGGGTGACTTCCCAAGTCTCAGGTTCTCTTAGTACCCAGGAGACCAACAAGCCCAGGCCTCCACAGCCTCCTTCAGCTCCTACACACAGAGTAACCTGCCACATTCAGGCGCTCCCATGAGGCTCAGCAGGTGCCTCTAAGGGGCACAGACATAATCTCTGCTTTTGTGGAGGGAGGGAAGGACCTGCCTTTGGGGGGTGTAGGATGGCACAGGACAGCTGCCCAGCTGTGGAGACCTCTTTGAAGTAGTTCCAGGGTGAGGGCAGTGTAACCATGACGATCGGAGGTCCCCACCCAGTACCCATGCGGGCTGTGATGTCCCACCTGCCCCTCACTCACCCAGCTCGGGAGGCAGCTGTTGCCTCTCCTGTGCCATTTGAAACCTGGCCTGGGCTGATATATATAATTTAACAGTTGGAGTGAAGGTATTACATTATTACAGTCAAGATAAGTGGCTTAAAAAATAACCAACTGATGTTTGAGTCTGCCAGGTTCTCTTTCACCTCTTTATCAGCTTCCTTCTTCCTGTGACCTCTTCTCCCAGTCCAAGACCATCTGCCTTTTCCCTCCCAGGTGCACATGAACTTGTATCACTTCTTCCATCCACACCCTGAACTCCCTCAGGTCACAGGATTGCCTGCGCATGTGCAGGCACCAGCATGGTGTGCACGTTGGTGAACTTCAGCACACTTTCAGCCTATGTAGGAGTTTTGGAGGAAAATCAATATGCAAACACACCCTAACCTGTGGCAGAGAGTAGTGTGTTACTTTTGACTCCACCAGGCCATAGAATAAAGGGAACGGCCTCAGAGAGGCCAAAGGTAGCTCCAGTCTGAAGAGGGCTGCACACCTGTATTTACATCCAGAGCATTAGGGTGGCATCTGTTCCTGATCAGAAGGAAACGCTAAGCAGAGACGGTCAGTTACAGATCAGAAAGTCAAGCCGGTATTTGGGGCCAGTTGAAACCTGTCTCCGTCCCTTAGGGAGATTTTAGGTTAAGAGTCACTTCTGAGTTTTTGACCCACATAGCAGGCCTTTGGAGACTCAACACAGAAAATACAATCCTCTGTCCTCTTTTCCTAAGTTTGCTGACCTCTAGGGGCCTCAATAAAATTGGAAGAAACAACAGAGTTTCCTTGGTAGCCTGTGAGGTGGGGAGGAGCATTGTGCCCTCAGAGCTTTGAGTGTATGCTGGTGATTGAGGAGATCAGGAGCATCTCAGCTGCCTCTGTAGTAATCTCACAAAACAGACATCAAGGGTGGGACCCGCTGCAAAGAGCAGCTGACAACAGCAGCAGAGGACACCCAGTTCCTACCCTGGCAAATGATGTTACTGGTTTATAAAGATAATGAATTTTTAAAAAATATATTAAATATACATATTAACTGCCTACTAGGAATTATTTTTTCTTACAATAATTATAATGGTTCATAGATTTATTCTAATTTTACAATTGGGAAACAAACTTAGAGACATGTAGTTTTCTGAAACCACTAGGGCATTGTGATGTTCGCCTTCTAAGTAGTGTCAGACTTAAGTCCAAGTTTATAAAAAATTATCTGTGAGTTTATAGGCTCATTGGTTGCTATTTTTCTCATCTTTGAAATGAACTTGTTGTGTTCTCTAATGTATTGTCAGACTGAGTCTCGATACGATAATATATGATGTGATGTAATAAAATGTAGTTAATATAATATAATATAATATAATATAATATAATAAATATAGTGTAGGGAGTGAGCGTACACTCAATTTAATATGCTGATTGAAGAGGATCATATGATATGATGGGAAGAGTATCAGGTTTCAAGAAATTAATGTAGAATTCAGTGTACATCATACTCAGAAAGGGTTTAATTTCTCAGTGAATATTCGGAAGGTATTTCAATAACACGCATCCAAAACTCAAAAATAAAACAAACCAGTAAGAACGAGCACCATCTGTGTCACAGGTGTGTTCCTGGCTTATTCACATCGCATGGTTGTTCAAGCTCCTTGTATAGAATTTGTGTAACTCCAGACAACCTTGTGATTTTGACAGTGATATATGTGTTTTGTACTTTGAGAGCAGGAGGCATGTACAGATTATGTAGTTTAAGGTCATGCAGATTTGCAATGATAAAGTGGTAAATTTATTCTGGGAATTGTAACAGCAAAATTATTTTCTTACTGGGCTGCAAACTGAATAAAATGAGGTAGGACCAGGTGTGGATTTTTTTTTTAAACCAACACACATCATGGGATCACAGGAATCAACATTTATTCTGATCCCACCAAAACCTCCCCTTCTACAAAGGGTGACAGTGAGCCTCACTGCTCCCCTGGGTGTCCCTCAGGTCTAAAAGTCCCTAAAGTCCACGCCAGGTGCTCTGCCTCATGGCACTGTTTGCTCCATTTTGACTCTTTCATTGGGTTTTGCCTGTGCATTTAACAGCTTCCTTAAAAGTGACTGGACCTTCAGAACCCATCCTTGTCAGAGTGGGAGAAGACATACAGCTAACCTGCAACCTGTCCCCCAGGGCTAATGCCCAGAGCATGGAGGTGAGGTGGGTCCGATCCCACCGTTATCCTGCTGTGCATGTGTACATGGATGGGGACCATGTGGCTGGAGAGCAGATGGCAGAATATAGAGGGAGGACCGCCCTCGTGAGTAAGGCCCTTGATGAGGGGAGTGTGACCCTGCAGATACACGATGCCAGAACTTCAGATGACGGGCAGTACCGGTGCCTCTTTGAAAAAGATGGTGTCTACCAGGAGGCCAATTTGGATGTGAAGATAGTAGGTAAAGTTTCTAGATAGATGTCTTTGATTCTATAGCATTTCCCTCTGTTTTATTTATTTATACCTTTTGTTCTATGACTACTTGCATTGTGATTATTATTTAAAAATTTTTTTCGTTAAGGTAATGCTGTTTCACATTGTTTATAGTTTGGCAGTGCAGGAGCCCACCTCCACTGATGTCATCGTGGCACTCCCACTACCAAAACACCTGTAGTTCACCACCACAGTCTGTCGTGCTTCCCCCTACTTTGTTCATCCCTCATCTTTCCCCTCCCCTCTGAATGCCTCAGTTCTACAGTCAACTTTCAAGAGTTAGTTTTTGGGTTTGAATTTATCTGGCCCTTTGTTTTTTTCTATAGTCCACATATAAGTGATATCATCTGTTTTTGTATTTATCCTTTTTTCCCCAAGTTCCACTTAGCACAATCCCTTCCAGCTCCTTCCAGGTTGCCACAAATGGCATCTGTATTCTGCCATCAAAAGTTTCATCTTTTTTTCTTTGATTGCTGAGTAGTATTCCATACATTCCATATATATATTTTTAAAGATTTATTTTTATTTATACAAAAACTGGGGTATAGGCCAGATGCGCAGGAGGGTGAGAGAATTCACTAGAGACAGAGGGGGTAGCAGAACAGGCAGATGACTGAAAACACTGCTGAGGAGAGCAGTGGGAGAGACAGGAGAGGTCTGCCGCACCGTGTAGGCATCTCTCTGGCCAGCCAGGAATTGAACCCATGCTGCAGAGGCTGCAGACAGCTTCACAGTGCTGCACTCAATCCACTGCACCACCGGGGAGGCCCTCCATAAATTTTTGGTCCACCCCTATGTTTTTGGGCACTTAGTTTGTTTCCATAATTTCGCTATGTAAATAGTGCTACAATGAAGATGAGAGTGCCAGTTTCCCTTCAAATTGTGTTCTTTGGGCAGTTATCTGGGAGTAGAAGTGCTAGGTCATATAGCAGATCTATTTTTTTAATCTTTTGAGAAAAGTCAATAGTGTTGTCCATAGGGACAGGACCAGTCTACATTTTCACCGGTAGTGTAATAGGGTTTCTTTTTCTCCACATCCTCACTAGCACTTGTTTCTGATGTATTTATTTATTTATTTGTACTAACTTATTTATTTTCTTGTATCTTTGTTAATTTTTGGATAGTATTTAATTTCCCCACTCCAGTGTAGTCCCTATAGTTCTTCCACCACCATAGCAACCATGATACATCACTAAAGTCTTTTGTGCTCTTCTCCCCCACCCCCTTTTTTTAGATTTAGTTATTTTTATATGAGAACTGAGGTACAGGCCAGAGGCCCAGAGACAGAGCAGAGAGCAGAACAGACAGATGGACCAAAATACACTGCTGAGGGGAGTAGCTGGCAAGACAGGAGAGGTCTGCTGCACCATGTGGGTATTTCCCTGGCCAGGCGGGAATCGAACCCATGCTGCAGAGGAAGTGGGCAGCTTCACAGTGCTGTGCTCAACCCGCTGCACCACTGGGGAGGCCCCCTCCCCTTTTTAAAGATTTATTTATGCATACAAGAATTGGGGTACAGGCCAGAGGTGTGGGGGGTGAGAGGGTTCACCAGAGACAGAGTAGGGAACAGAATAGGGTGACTGACTGAAATGCACTGCTGAGGGGAGCAGCGGGCTAGTCAGGAGAGGTCTGCTATGCCATGTGGGTCACCTCCCTAGCCAGGGATCGAACTCGTGCTACAACGGCTGCAGATTGCTTCATAGTGCTGTGTCTTAACCCCTTGCACCACTAGGGAGGCCCTCTCCTCCCTTTTTTTGACCCCTCTCCCTCACCTTCCCCTGCTCTATGTCTCAGATCTATGGTCAGCTTGCAAGTTTTGTCTTTTTCTTCTGACACTTTGTTGGTTTCTCTATATTCCACACATAAGTGAAACCATTCAATATTTATTGTTTTCCTTCTCACTTATTTTGGCTAGCATAATCCTTCCAGCTCCATCCATGCTGCCGCAAATGGCATGAATTTATCTTTTTTGATCACTGAGTTATATTCCATTGTGTACACATACCACATCTTCTTGATCCATTCATCTTTTGGGGGGCATTTAAGTTATTTCCATATCATGGCTACTGTGAATAGTCTGCTATAAACATAGGAGTGCAGGTTTCCTTTTGAATTAGTGTTTTTTGCCCTTTGGGTAGATTCCTAGGAATGAATTGCTGAATCACATGGTAGATCCATTTTCAGTTTTGTGAGGTGCCTCCACTCAGCTGACCAGCTTTCCATAGTGACTGGACCAGTGGGCATTCCTACCAGCAGTGTAAGAGGATTCCTTCTTCACCACATCCACATCCTTGCCAACATTTGTTGTTACTTGCTGGTTTTTTTTTTTTTTTCATATGGGCCATTCTCACAGGTGTGAGGTGGTATCTCATTGTGGTTTTGATTGTATGCCTGTTGGCCATTTACATTTCTTCTTTGGAGAAGTGTCTTTTTAGCTCTTCTGCCCATTTTTTTTTTTTTTTTGATTGGGTTGTTTGTTTTCTCTCTCTCTGTCTTTTTTTGTTGAATTGTGTAAGCTCTCTGTAGATCTTTGATATCAGTTCCTTATAAGATGCATGGTGTGCAAATTTTCTCCCAGTCTGTAGGGTGTCTATTTGTTTTGGTTGCTGTCTCTTTTGCTCTGCAGAAGGTTTTAAGTTTGATGTAGTCCCAGCTGTTTATCTTCTCTTTTGTTTTCCTCTCTTTGGGAGATGAATCCTTAAAGCCATTTCTGACATTTATGGCATGGAGTGTTTTACCTATGTTTTCTTCTATATAGTTAATAGTTTCAGGACTTAACATACAAATCTTTTATTCATTTTGAGTTGGTTTTTGTGTACGGTGATAGACAGTAATTTAGTTTCATTCTCTTGTATTTATTGAAGAGACTTTCCTTGTCCCAGTGCATATTCTTTGCTTTTTTATCATAGATTAATTTACCATATATATGTGGTTTTATTTCTGAATATTCAATTTAATTTCAGTGGTTTGTATGTCTGTTTTTGTTCAGTACTTACATCATAAATAGTTTTTGCCTATGGTTTATTCTATGTATATTATGATTTCAGATCTTACATCCTAGTCTTCCATCCATTTTGAATTGATTTTTGTGTGTGACGTGAGCTGGTTTCATTATTTTGCATATGATTGTCCAGTTTTCCCACAACCGTTTGCTGAAGATGATTTCCTTGCTCCAGTGTATGTTCTTGGCTCCTTTGCTATATATTAACTGTCCATATATTTGTGGGTTTTTCTGAGTTCCCACTGTTTAACTTGATAGTTCCTAGAGTATTTCCCTGGAATCTGAAATTTTCTTTTTTAAAAAAGATTTATTTATTTATTTTATACAAGACTGGGGTACAGGTCAGAAGCAGGGGAGGGTGAGAGAATTCAACAGAGACAGAGCAGGGATCAGAACAGGCAGATGGACCGAAGACACTGCTGAGGGGAGCAGCGGGTGAGGAAGGAGAGGTCTGCTGTGCCATGTGGGGTTCTCCCTGGCCGTCAGGGTATTGAACCGACATTGCAGAGGCTGCGGACAGCTTCGCAGTGCAACACTCAACTGCTGTGCCACTGGGAAGGCCCCTAAGAAAGATTTATTTTTATTTATTTATGCATATAAGAACTGGGGTGTAGGCCAGAGATGTGGGGGGTGAGAGGATTCACCAGAGACAGAGTGGGGTACAGAACACACTAATCTACTGAAATACACTGCTGAGGGGAGCAGTGGGTGAGACAGGAGAGGCCTGCTGTGCCATGCGGGCAGCTCCCTGGCCAGGGATTAAACTCATGTCACAATGGCTGGTGATAGCTTAATAGTGCTGACACTTTAACCCCAGTGCCACCAGGGAATCTGAAATTTTTTAATATTCATTTACTCATCAAATTTAAAATGAACCCTCCACTATGCTACAATTTTCATAGATACTTAGAGTCCATAAACTCAACTTGACCAGATTTAATTTTGGGAGTATAGCATTTATATCCTTCCCAGGATCTCCATAAAGTAACAAGATATTGAGTGAAATCTGAGAATTTGACTGCATAACTTTACATAGGACTCATTATTTCAGTGTTATTAAAAATTCTGGGAAATATGAAATTACTAGGAAGTATGATGATTTGAACTCAATCCACCATACAAACAAAAGTCTTAAATACAGGCATTATTCACAGGATGGAGGAGGGAAGTTGCTCCCTGCATGATCATTATTCACTGTCTATATTTGTGAGTTTCAGTTGATTTTCAAAGTTAGGAAATGCCATTGTGAAAAAGACCAAAATGTTAGATAATCTACTTTTTTCTTCAATGGATTGTCTATGTTAATAAACATATTTAACAAATATCTCCTGGAGCACATGTTGAGAAGTTAATGGACTTCATTTTTACCATTGGACAAACATATTTACAAGATTCTGATCTTCGAGACTATCTCATTCCCTTCATCCTGGCCATGAGATCCATTCCCTAGTCAAAGTCATTTTTCTTTCAGGTGTAGAAGAAAAACACTGGATTTGAAAGTTATTTTATATTCTTAATATGTCTCAGGATGATTTTTGGAATACAAAAAATAAAAATAATAGGCAAACAAAGGAGGAAAATCCTCCAACTAGTCTTATCCCTCAGTGGAATGTAATTCCTCCATTATCTTTGCTTTCGTCCCCAAGCCTCTGAATCCCCTTCTTCCTTCTCAATAAACTCACTGACCAAATAACCATTTGAACAGACTTTAGGTTTCATTCCTTGATCTTGTTCCCCAGCTGTGGGTTCGTCCCCACTGATCACCGTTGAGGCAATGAAGGACGGAGAATCACAGCTGGTGTGCACCTCAGAAGGGTGGTTCCCACAGCCCCACATGCAGTGGAGGGACATGGAAGGGAGGACTATGCTATCGTCTTCAGAGGCCCTGACTCAAAGCAGCCATGGGCTGTTCCAGGTGGAGACACGCCTGCTGCTCACAGACAGCTCTGTTGTCAATGTGACCTGCTCCATCAGCAACCCACTTCTTGGCGAGGAGAAAATGGCAGCTTTTTCTCCCTCAGGTTGGTAATTCCATGTGTCCCTCTCAACTTTGGGAAATAAATGTGAGGATCAACCCAGATCTATCTTTTTATTGCTCTTCTTTCTTTTTCATTTTCTTTCTTTCAGATGAGGTCTTCTATTTTTTCTTGCTAATCTTCAGGATACCTCCAGATCCTAGTTGTCTGAATTTCTCCCTGACATCTCCAACTAAAGTCCTAAGATTACATTTTTTTTTAACTAAATTCTAAGAATTGACACTATTATCATGATATCAGCACCTTTTTTTTTGTGATGTAAAAACTATGGTATTCCTTTTTCCCTAGTGGTAGAATTTTCTTCTGGGTTATAAATTAACTTTCCTTATGCCATTACAAGACTATGGACTGGGTAATTTTATCCTTTTGCCATTCTTGTTATTCCAGTGAGTGTAGTGATATAATTGGAGAAAGGAAGTGGGAAATGTGTGTGTGTGTGCCTGTATTTGAGTGTGCATGTCTCTGAGTGTATATATTTTTCATGTGCGCATATACATATGTGTGTGTATTCCTGAGAGAAGCAAGATATAAAGCTAGCATAAACTTTTAGTCGTTCCCCCATTTGTGCAGAGCAGGAAGGGGCCGACCAATTTCCTCCTCTTCAGACATGATCTTACTCTTTTCTCCAGGCAATGAGCTGCTGAGATGAAAAGGACAGCTCCGAATATTTCCCAGTTTCATGATTTAATGCTATTCTGGGGATTCTATTTTAGATACCATGTCATCAATCTTTGATTCAACACCATGGATGGTGAATATCTTGGTTTCATATCTTGGTGCATTTGTAGTCCTACTCATCCTGATCATCCTGTACTTCACAGGCCATCTTAAAAAGGTGCGTTATGTAAACTGAAGGAGTGTGGAACACACTTGGTGGTTGGAACTTTACTGTATACTTTTCCTCACTCTCCTTTCAACTGTCACATTTGGGGGGCATTCAGTGGCTATTCAATAATTAATGACATGTGAGAGTCCATGACTTATATTAATGTAATCCAGAGTCAGTGTTGAATGAGATCAGAATTTATAGTGATAATAGAACCAAAACTTCCCAAGTAATGTAGGTAGGAGAGAAAGGGGGAATGATCATGGCATAGCCTTGCATACTTAAGGATGAGTACTGAGACTTAACTGAAATTCTGTTGGCTTGACAGATCACTGATGCCTTTAAAATATGGTGACTTCGCAAAAAATGGGCAGAAGAGATAAAAGAAACTTCTCTAAAAAGGAAATGCAAATGGCCAACAGGCATATGAAAAAATGTTCAACATCACTTGTAATCATGGAAATGCAAATCAAAACTACAATGCGATACCATCTAACACCAGTGAGAATGGCACATATTAAAAAAACTAGCAACAACAAATGTTGGCGAGGCTGTGGAGAAAAAGGAACTTTCCTACACTGTTGGTGGGAGTGCAAACTGGTCCAACCACTATGGAGAGCTGTGTGGAGATATCTGGACCTACTAAACATAGAGCTTCCATATGATCCAGCAACTCCACTCCTAGGTATTTACCCAAAGGACACAGAAACATCAATTCCAAAGAACACCTGCACCCCTATGTTTATAGCAGCACTATTTACAATAGCTAAGCTTTGGAAACAGCCCAATGCCCAAAAATAGATGACTGGATCAAGAAGATGTGGTACATATACACCATGGAATATTACTCAGCATTCAAAAACGATAAACACGTGCAATTTGCAGCAACATGGATGGCGCTGGAAGGGATCATGCTCAGAGAAATAAGCCAGAAAGAAAAAGAAAAATACCGGATGGTCTCACTCATAGCAGGAATCTAGAAAACTTAAATAAGGGATCAGGAAAAAGAATAACTATAAGAAAGAAATATCAAAATCAACAAACAACTATGAACCAGAGACACTCTATGGGGGGTAGGGGGCAGGGAAAGGAGGGCTTGGAGTCAAAATAAGGGGGTTGTAAATGTACGGGGAATATAAAAATAAAATTTAAATAAAAAAAATAAAAGTATGGTGACTTCGGGCTCAAGCCCCACCCTCAGCAGTGCCCCCGAGGGTCCCTCAGGAGTACCTGGAAGCCCTGCATCTGGGTGGTGGCAGAATGAAGCCCCTGAGCAAGCTCAAGTCCAGCCATCAATTACAAACCCAAACCTCAACAGGAGAACCTGGGGGTCCCACCAGTTGCCACCAAGAATCCGGTAGCCATAGCTGCGCGCTCAGGTGGGAGTGGAACCAAACCCCGGTGCTTAAGCTCTACCCACAGAATCTCCCCCTAGCAGTCCCAAAGAGCACCTGGGAGTCCAATCAGTTGGCAGTAGCCATCCGGTAGCTATGCACCCAGGTGGGAGCAGCCGGAAACTCCTGTGCTCACACCCCATTCACAACAGCAACCCTGGAGCCCCTCAAGATCATTTGGGATCATTGACCATTGGAATCAGCCATCCAACAGACACATACCTAACTACAGTGGCCAAGGCAAAAGGCAGATAGATGCAAACCCCAGTAAGAGCACCCAGAAGTCACACCTGCCGACACAAGTGGCTTGGTGACACAATGCATAGAACAACCCTGAAAGCAAACAATGGGAAGAAAGAAATATGCAAATGGTCAAGCAAGTCTTCCTAGAAATAGTACATCACAGAAAATCAGCATCCAGAACCCAACCACGCCATCACAGAAGAATTTCTTTGCCTGTCAGATAAACAGCTCAGAATCACTATAATGGAAACACTCAAAGATTTAAAAGAAAAAGCAGAACAGGAAAATAATATGATAAATACAAACAATGAACAGTAGAATGAGATTGAATCTTTAAAAAAGGAAATGAAGGAAACACAGGATGTTAACAGGTCAGTGGAGGAACTAAAATTTTTGAGAAAAAGCAATGAAGATAGAATAGATGAAAGGGAAAAATGAATCAGCACTCTCAAAGATACAGATATAAAATGAACCAAAAAAGAAAAGTAATGAGAGATACAAAGGAAAAATAATGAAGAAAATCTTCAGGATTTATCTGACACCATGAAGAAAGGAAATATTCATAGGAATCCTATGGAGAAAAGCAAGACACAGAAACTGGAAATCTGCTCAAGAATATAATTGAAGAGAACTTCCCAAACCTGAAGAAGGAAATGAAAATAGGCATACAGGAAGCTAGAAGGAAAGACAACTACCATAATGAAAGGAAAATCACTGCAAGAAACATAATAGTAAAGCTACTGAGAGTTGAAGACAAAAAAAAAAAAAATTAAGCTGCTGTGGAAGAAACAGATAACCTATAAAGGAAAACCAATTAGGCTGACATAAGACTCTCTGAAGAAAAACTATGGGAAAAAAGAGAATGTAGTAATATAGTCAAAAACCTCATTTTTGTGGTTCCATATGAATTTCATCGGTATTTATTCTATTTCTTTGAAGAATGTCATTGGGATTTTTATTGGAATAGCATTGAATCTGTATATTGCTTTTGGGAGGATGGTCATTTTAATAATGTTGATTCTTCCAATCCATGAGCAGGGGATATCTTTCCATTTCTTTGTGTCTTCTTCAATTTCTTTTAACAGTGTTTTATAATTTTCTTTGTATAGGTCTTTCACCTCTTTTGTTAGGTTTATTTGGTGAAAGAGGAACTCTCCTACATTGCTGGTGGGAGTGCAGACTGGCCCAACCACTGTGGAAAGCTGTCTGGAGTTTCCTCAGTCTACTAAAAATGGAGCTACCATACGTTTCAGCAATTCCACTAGTAGGGATCTACCCAAAGGACACAAAACCATTGATTCAAAAGAGCACCCACACACCTATGTTTATTGCAGCACTATTTACAATTGGTAAAACCTGGAAACAACCTAAATGCTCAAAAATAGATGACTGGATCAAGAAGATATGTTATATATACACAATGGAATATTATTCAGCCATCAAAAAAGATAAATTCATGCCATTCACAACAACGTGGATGGAGCTAGAAGGTATTATGCTTAATGAAATAAGCCAGAAGGAAAAAGAAAAATATCGGATCATTTCACTTATACCAGGAATATAGGGGGACCAAATAAGACATCAGTATAAAAAAATAATAACGGTACAAACACAACAAAGCAAAAACAGACAATTATAAACAAGAGACATACTGCAGGGGGGGAGGTGGGAGAGGGATCACAGGGAGGGAGGGAAGAGCACAGGGGACTGTGGTGATGGTGCATGGGTGCCTTGGGGAAGGAAATTCTGTGGGGACTCAATCTGAGGGTTGGGGGGAAACAAATATTGTCTAAAAAATTTAGAAAAATGATAAATGTTAAAAAAAATAATAAAAAAAGCTCAAAGACAAAAAAATGCCATCCAAGAATACTTTATCCTGAAAAGCTCTCTTTCCTCTATCAGGGAAAAATGAGGACCAGTCTCCTTAATGAACACAGATGTAAAAATTCTCAATAAAATCCTTACAAACTGAATCCAACAATGCATCAAAACGATAATACACCATAACCAAGTGGGATTTATTCCAGGGACACAGGGTTGTTCAACATCTGAAAATCAGTTAACGTAATCTATTCCATCACCAAAAAGAAAAAGAAAAAAATCATATTATCATATAAATAAATACTGAGAAAACATTTGATAAAGTTAAACATCCATTTATGATGAAGGCCCTTGTAATTCATAGAAGGAACATACCTTAACATAAGGAACATACCATATAGACAAACCCATGGCTATTATCATTCCTAATGGTGAATGACTGAAAATCTTCCCCTTAAGGTCTAGAACAAGACAACAAGGATGCTACTCTCACTACAGTTTTTCAACATAGTACTGGAAGTCCTAGTTAGGGTAATTAGCAGAAGAAAGACATACAAGGAATCTAAATAGGGAAAAGAGAAGTAAAACTATCACTATTTGCAGATGATATGGTAATATATAGAAAGAGCCCTAAAATTTCCATAGAAAAAATAATTAAAACAATAAATCAGTTTAGTAAAGCAGCAGGTTACAAAATGAACACACAAAA